TTTTCTCTGGAGACGAGGAGGCTGAGAGGACACCTTATCACTCTCTACAACTAGAAAGGAGGTTGTAGTGAGGTGGGGGTTGGTGTCTTCTCCCAAGTAACAAGCAACAGGATGAGAGGAAATGGCCTCAAGTTGCAGCAGGGGAGGTTTAGATTGGATATTAGGAAAAAATTCTTCACTGAAAGCGTAGTCAGGCATTGGAACAGGCTGCCCAGGGAAGTAGTTAAGTCCTCATCCCTGCAGGTATTTAAAAGACAGGTGGATGTAGTGCTTAGGGACATGGTTTAGTGGTGGACTCGGCAGTGCTAAGTTAACAGTTGGACTTGATGTCTCAAAGGTCTTTTCCAACCTAAATGATTCTATGATTCTATGACAAGCCTCTCCTGCACTGTCTGTTTGTTCCCTATGGATTCAGCAGCCACAAAGTCAGACAGTCAGGCACACTAACCATGACCTTAGAGAAAATAGCCATGATCAATTTGGCTGCTGCCGAGCTCTCTGAGACAATATCTTTTGCATCTTCCTTCTATTTGTTTCTTTAGGGAGAGGGGAGATCAGACTGATGATGAAGTCAGTTCATCAAGCAGTGTTTTTTCTTATGCATAACCAAATCAGAAGGTCAAGCCTGAGGAAGGACAAGAGCTGGGACAGATGTGGAAATATGAAACATCTGGCTTTGTAGAACCAGTGAAGTCACCACTCACTCCTGGAAATACTTCACATCTCCAAGGTCATCCATCTCCTCTGGTAATGCTATCTTCATCATTATGAGTATCATCTTTCTTTTACATTCATATACAAGGTTATGAGTCTTAAAGGACACCATTAGCCTACCAACCACACCTCAGACATAAAATCTTTCTAACGTACCACTGTTAAAATTAACCCACTGAGTACAACTGAGGTACCAGAGAGAAACTCTTGTTTTAATGTATTCTCTTTACATTTTGTTGGGTTAGTGGTATAAATTCAAATTCAGAACACCTAATTTTGGGCAAACCATCTCCTGGCTAATAGCTGTTCACAAGATGTGTAGGTAAAGAATGTCAGTGGTGACAGAGGTTACATGTCTGCATGTCTGTAAGACACTTGTAACAAATGCACAGCCTTGCTTGGAATAAAAATCTTGATGTGAGTACTGCAGACACAAACTTCACAGTTAACTTTGCACTAGTTTATTCAAAGCCTGACAACCAGTTCTGGATTTAGATGTCTGGAACAATCCAGAATTGCATTTTTACAGTCTTGATAATTCAATGTCTGCCTCTACTTTCTATTCTTCATTCCTTCCTACCTTCCTGCCTTCTTTCCTTTCCTCCCACCTGCCTTCCTGCCTCCCTTGATCCTCCTTTTTGCTCTCCCTCTCTCTGTCTTCCTCCCTTCATCATTCCTTTTTTCCATCTTCTATCAGTAAATACGTTTTTTTATGTTTGCATGCAGAACGCTGGTTCACAAGTAGGTCCTATATGTACATATTATTATTATTATTATTATTATTGGCATAAAAGAATTAATGCTGTTTCCCTAAGAATGTTCTCTCTGCTAATCATTGATAAGAAATGTTACAGCAAATTCAACATTAAGGTAGACTGAGGCACATATGTACTACACATGTAAAGCAAACTGAAGTGCCATGGAGGTCATGGTACATCCTGACAATCCTAAATGGATAGGAAAAGTATTTCTGTAGCACAAACATATTTTTCTGAGACTCTTTAATGCAAAGGAGATTTTGGAAGGAGAAAAAAAGAAAAACAAAGAAAAAAGAATTCTCGACATAGTTCACCTAGGGAAGGGATGACTAGTCCATACCTTGTGGGCTGCACTGACTGCTTGTGAATAGCTAAATGGTGTTTCAAGTCTGCTATACAGTTTGAATTCTGACTGTGGGAGAAAGAATGCAGCAGGGATTGCTCTATGTCCAGTTGCATCAACCATTGCAATGGCACAGTGGAACTGCATGCTGCGGTCATGTCTTCCTTGAAAAGTTGTCCTTGGGATCCTCTCCTATGTGCCATTGTCCAAGGTACGTGCCATGTGACTGTGGTACATGCAAATGATTAGTTGTGCATGAAGAAGGCTGACCACTTTTTGATGGATGCACGAACTGCTGGTTACTGAACAGAGTACTGTGCTTTTGGCAAGTTAAACCATATAGAGAATTATCTTCTATTTTGCAAAGCTCCATCTAGAAGGGCAGCCTTTTTTTTTTAACACTTCCTAACTGTTTTTCTCTGTTCCCCTACAGTGGTATTAATTACTCTATGCCACATTTTCAAGTAAAATTAAAAGGCACTGCAGAGGATGAAGTCACAAAAAACTCAAACAGTTTCAGAAAATGAAACTTCTGTAAGACAAGTGAGTTAATCTTTCCTTGTCAGTGTTACCCTACACAAAGTGTTGCAGTCTGTCATCAGCCTGGAATTCCAGGAAGCTGCAATATGAACCGAAAACAAAGCTTAGAAGAAAGATTAAGTTACAAAGTTGAAGCATATCTATTCAGTCAGTTTGTAAGAAATAAAAACCCCTGGAATTGAATCCCAAGTTTTTTTACAATGTGATTCTACTTCAAAAATGCTTCTGCAAAAGCAACCTCATGGAACTCCAGAAATTGTTGAAAGATCTTGTGTTCTTCAAGAAAGTGTAAGTATGCATTAAAGGGATAGCCTTGCCACTGCAGAATAGGAGCCTTGGAGACAAGCTGTTTTCTTTTCCTGTCAAAAATATCCATAATAAAATAATAGCACTAGTGATACTTGTGCAACTCTACAGCATCTTTAAAATATGATCCCAGTGACACATAAACAATTATGCTTCCTTCTGAGGTTTTTTGAAGTTGAATGAGGTAGAATTTTAATCATGATATGCCTGAGGATGACTGAAAAGTAATAATATCTATACTCTACTTAGCTGGATTTTGTCCTGTCAAAGGAAATGTAGAAGAATTTACAAAGGGAATAGATCTATTGGATTAATCACTTTAAATGAGAAAATATAGATTAAAGCAAACAAAAGTCAGCATGATATAATATCCTTTTAGAGTCTGTATCACAGTGATCATATTTGTGAAATCCTTCAACAGGCACCTGAAAGACTTGATCAAAACAATGCATGCAGCTCTCTCTCTGTGTCTAAGGAAAGTGTGAACATACCAGCTCCTTCTTCTTCATGCACTCCATGAGGATAATGAAGAGGTGCTGTGCCTGCGTTCGGGTGTATGTGAAAGTCTTCTGTATGGTAACTAGCAACTGGTCCCTCAATGACTCATTGATAAGTCTGAAATTCAAAAAGAAAAAATAAAGTAGAAAAACAGACATAAGGGAACATTGCAACTTCAGCCAAGGGTCAAACAAATAAGAGTAAGATAACAAATCACTGCAGGTTGTTTTGGACAGGTTTGAAGGACAGGAATTGCTGAAACCATCAGAGACAAGTTGGAAAACACTGTTCTAGAAAAAAAGATTAATTATGTTGGGGTTCCTCATGTCCAAAGTTTTTATTTCAGTTCCCACATATTGCATAACAGAAGGTCATTCAAACTATCAGCTCTGAGGGATTTCTTAACAGAAACAAGAACCACACTGACAGTTTGGATTTGAGGGAGACCAACACTTCCAGGTGAACTGAAGACCCCTTTCTATCAGTGAGTTAGCAGAATTCAACTCCTCGTTCATTTTATGAAACTGGGAGTATTTGTGTTGTCAGTGTTTTTGATTTTAGCTTGAGCATCCCAACAGTTTCACCTCACCTTATTGATGCTGCACAGGACCAGGTAAGAAAACAAAAAAAAAATTTCCCTGTTCCTGAGTCCACTTGAAGAAACCATTTTGCTTTGGTTCATGCTGATCTTCCAGGAGTTTAAAGAGTAATCACTTTTATATTCCTCCTGAGTGCTAATGTTAGTACTTGCAAAAAGTGGCCCAACAGCAGAAATAAATAGTAATATTATGCGGACTATCAGTACTTGAACCCTACCCCTTGATGTCAAAAAGCCTATTCCTCAGGACTGTTCTGGGTTAAACATTGCTATTCTTAATGTCTTACAAAATAGTGGGCTTTAATTTAGCACATGTATCCTTTGATGTATGAAAGCTTCTACACTATAGCAGTTTTCTCACTTAAAAATTGTAACTGAGCGTTTCAAATTAGCTGAGTCAGCATGTTTTACAGGATAAGTCATTGTTGATCATCTGTGGGAATGAAAATCAGAGAATCTTCATGACTCATATTTTATGACAGAAGATAAACAAAGATTTAGCCCTGCAACAACTGCAAAGAATTATCAGAAACAGCACAGTGTATAAAAGTCATTGTTAGCTTATGGCATCTGCTTTGGGAGAACAGTGACCAAACCCCTGTTTATTTCATATTACTGGTAAAAGTCGCCTGTACTTCTCTGCAACAAGGAAGCCCAAATGAGACTGCAGGATATTCACACACAATTGAATTTCAAATATGATTTAACTATCTAGTCTTTATACCTACAGCAAACATGTTATCAGATGAGACAATGAATGGGAATGGGAAAGAGGTATAGAGGTGCATAGGAGAATATAGAAGGCCTGGCATATGGAGTGCATATGTTCTCTATTCTCTAAATTCGACTTTGACTTTAAATATCCCTGTTGAGTAGGACTCCCACTTCACAAAGAAGCCTGTAAGGCACATGTCAATGTGTTTGGATTAAAATGAGTTTACATGGGGTTTTAGATCACACTGTGGATCACTGTTCTTTCTATGCCTGGCTCCTCCTGTTGTCTTCTACTTTATTACCTTCTCTTGAATGGAGAGTCTACCTCTGCACTTCCTCTTTTCATTGAGGAGCAGTATGGCCCCAGATGTGCTTTTTTCCTGGGGTACTGGAGAGGCAACAAAACTGCATTTACTGCTCACTCACTATGTAAGCACGCCTTCCCTGAAGTATGACCTACTTCCCTTACATAAAGGCAACATACTATGAGTTAAAACCTGCAACCCTCTTGGTGGACAGCAACGAGAGCTGACAGCAGAGGACTTTCTGTGTGAGGGTTATAAGAAAAATAACCTGACCTCCTGTATAGAAGTAAGGATGTTGCAAGCACATGGGAACATGAAACAAGATGTCAGAGCACAGGTAGAAATGTAGATTCACACCATGTTAAAGAGAACCAACTTGGAAATGCTGACACCTTGAAAACCACTAATATACTTTGAGTTGCAGATTAGTAGGTCATATATGGTGTAAATTCTGAAGCCCCTTTTTCAGGCTTTTTAAAAAAAATCTGTTGGAAATTTACTTTAATCAAGAAGGCTGCTCTTCACAAAATGGTGCTATCACTGTAAATATAAGTGGTTCAGAATTATGCGATTTTCCATCCTTCAAACTAAGAAAGAAAAAAGGGGTTCATCACTAAGAACAAGTTTCCTAAAAACATCAACTGGAGAATCTAAACAAAGATTTAAATAAAGCTCTATTTTCTTTTGGAAATGATATATGAAAGTAAAGTACATGACAAAGTATGAGAAGTATATGAAGTATATGAAAAAATACATGGAATTGGAAGAATCTGAAATTAGAGAACTTCAGAAAACATTTCCAAAGATCCTGGGATGAAAACCATCCTGTTTTCTCATCATAACTTAATTTTCCTTAAAAAAAGTGTAGAATCCATACCTGAAATTTCATTTCAGAAATTGTCTCTCTCTCAGGTTAACACACACAGAACGCAAGAAAAATTTGCTTTGATAAGCATTGAGTGAAAGCAGAATTAAGTCCCAAGGCTTCGTAAGCAGCCATCACTTTCCTTTCCTGAATTAAAGCTATCAGAAACTGTATCATATTGTAAGTTTAAACAGCATGTAAAGCAAACTCCATGTGAAAGGTATGGAATTTTTAAAAAAAAAAGTATCAAGAAGTGGTTCCCTAACTACAGGGGTACACATCTGTTGAAGTATCACTGCTCAGAAATTTCCTGTTGTCATCATTTGATTTATGCAGTTTTCTATCTTTACTAAGTACTTTTTTTTTAACATCTCATTGGTCTGCAATTCTACAGCAAGCCTGTTCAATGTCTTTGTGAGATTTAAAAATGGAAGTGATTGTAATCAGAAATAGAAAAAATAATACCAAGCTTTCTGATAAAGTAATCATAGCTGAATTAAGCTTTGTCTAAACTGAAATCAGTCATGTCAAGACTATATCACATTTACACCTCAAGAATCTGTAAATGTTAGAAGGTATCAGATCAAAGTTCCCAGTCATGTAACCCAGCTGAGACAAATACAAATTGTGCCAGGCTATTAAAGGCTAAATCTATGATGCATACACCAAATCCAATGCATGTAAAACAAGTGACTTCACAGACTACTGTGAGCAGAATAACTGGCACTTGCAGGTGGGGTGATGATTTATCCACTATGCAAAGACAACCACATTTGTTATACATGCAACTTAAACACACATTTTTAAAAATCACAGATTCCTAATTTTAGTTTTGGGGAAAAAGAGATGCCTCCTGGAGTCTTGTGATTAGAGGTCTAACCTAGAACACAGGAGATTATTGGCCACTAACTTGGGAACAGTATGTTCAGCAGACTCTGTCATGGATTATGAACCTCATATGCATAAAGCTCCATAAGCATAAAACTGCCACTTTACCAGACAGACACTCTATGATTATGATTTCCTTCAAAGTCAGCATACTCCCACCCTAAGAAAACTGGATAGTGTCAGATGAAGATAGTATTTTTATCATCTTCCTGCTAGGCTTCAGTTCAGAAAATATTTTGCAACATACCAATAAAGACCTGTTTGGGGCATTTTGATGGCATGATTCCATGAATTCCACCTAATTTGTCATGGAAGCAATACTGCAGTTAACTCGCTCCTGCCTAATGAAACGTCCTACAAAAGGACAATTTAACCTGCTCTTTTCTTTCATTTCCCACATAGCTCAAATCTGTTCTTTCATTCCCTAAATACCTAAGATAAGCCCATTTTCCTACCAGTCCGGGCATCCAACTTTTTTTTTACCCAGAGGAGCTGGATTGCTGATGGTATTTAGATACCTACTGTCAAAAATCTGGCATCTAAAGTAGAACTATATACATCTACGTTTAGTTTCAGAGAAAAATCTACTCATAATTGTTGCTAAGAGTGATTTTTTTTTTTAAAGAAGATGCCAAAATTAATTTTGATGCATCAGATGATCAGAACTGACTTGTATGGCCTTACCACAGGAAAAAAGGGAGAAAGATGTCTTGGATCCATCAGGAGAGGCCACTTAAAAACACTGAAGTGACAAAGTAAATAAAGTGATGTTTTATTTCTGTCCAATATATGCTGGAAGATTAAACAGCAAAGCAGAACTCCCTTCATTGCTTTGGCCAATGTAGAAGAGACAGATGACAGCATTTTGGCATCCTCCCTCCTCAGAAAGAAAGTTTTTTTGAAGTCTTGCCTAATATTTGAGGAGATAATAGACATCCCACTTAATGACATTCCAGTCTTTCAAACTCATGGCATATGATTTTGTAGTGAACATTGGGGAGGATTTGAAAGATCTGGCCCATAGCCAGCTCCCTAAATTATTTAGTCTTTTTTCTGCAGAGATTTTTAGTACTGGAGTTGTACAATGTACTTGAGATTTATAAAAATTATGCTCTAACCTGATTTCAAAATGCAAGTTCATTACAGATTTTTTTAAACTTATTGTTACCAAAATGCTTTGAAATTCTCTAAATGAAACATTCCATTCAATGAACTGCACATAATCTTTTTCTAACTTGTCATTTGTTAATTCTTTCTTTTTTAATTTATTCTTTTTATTCAGGATAAAGAAAATATATCCATAAAATATCAGTGTGATGTGAAAACTATTCCCTGCCCTCCTTTATGGGAAGCTTAGGGGATTTTCTGTTTTAATTATGATTTGCACTTTAGACAATCACACCATATGTAAGAAACATGACCAGAGGCTCTGCTGATATTTTCTTCCACTGGAATTACAAATAAGACACAGTTGCGCAACTCTGTAGGACTGACTGAATTTCTTATACTTTTTAAATCCACACATTTTGCATAGCATTGTTATGAGAACAGACAGAAAATAAATGTAATAATTCCTTTGTTCTATTCAAACAGGGATGATTTCTGGGTGCTTTTATGAGGAATCAGCTTTACTTGCTGCTCTTTACTGGTGGTTGTTCTTCTACACCATTTTTCCCTGACTATGTTTATTAAATGGTTGTCCCTTCACCAAAAGAGAGATATTGTATTTCAACAAAGAAACGACCTT